GCCGATCCATTGGAGCACCGCGCAATCGAGATCGGCGGCAGCGATCGGACGCCAACGCAGCTCCCTTGAATCCTTTCCATTCCCATTTAAATCTCTCTCTCTCTCTAAAGATCTCAACTTTCTTTTTTTTTAAATCTTTAATAGTGAAGAGCAGGAGACGAGAGCAGATTCGTCGTTTTGTTCGCGGCTTCCTGAAATAAATAGTCACCGAAATTTCTTTCCCTTTATAAATACGCCGAATGACGAATTTACCCTCGGTCGCTTCTGCCAATGGCTCCGCTGACGTGGACCGTGATCATGGGCGATGATTGGCTTTGGCACCCAGCGACCGATCAGGTGGGGGCCCGCCACGTGGACGGTTGGACGGTTGCGATCTGTACACGTGGATGGACGAGGAGGGACTTAGGGCCCGTTTGGATAATGGAAGTATTAGAAGTAAGAAGTAGGTTATAGAAGTAACTTTCAAAACTATGAAGTAGGAAGTAGTGGAAATAGCATTTTTTTGAGCTTTGCTACAGGGACCCAAAATATGGGACCAATAGGAGGGACAAGTGAGGTGTCCCCCTCCTATTGGATAATGAGTTGGCCATTATTAATGATGACCAACTCATTATCCAATAGGAGGGAGACACCTCACTTGTCCCCTCTATTGGTCCCATATTTTGGGTCCTTAAGGAATTTTTTTATTTTTTTTTTGTTTGTTTCATATATTTTTAGAAGTAATGGAAGTAGAACTTCTTCATCTTCATTTACTTTTTTGTTTGGATAACATTTGAAAATATTATTAGGAAATAATTTTATCAATGAAAAGTTGTTAGAAGTAACTAATAAAGAAAATATTAATAAAAAAATTATTTATGTACTAATAAAGAAAATATTAATAAAAAAATTATTTATGTCATAATTAATATGCATTTCAACTACTTCCGAGCTACTTCTGATGTCATAATTAATATGCATTTCAACTACTTCCGAGCTACTTCTGAGTATTGAGGATTAGAAAAATATTTTAGAAGTAAGGATGACACGTAGGCGCCACATAAGCATTTAGGGAAGTATTGGAAATAAGTTTTTCAGAAAACCAAACACACTTTTTTTCTTGGAAGTAGCAGAAGTAGCCTCTACTTCTTTTACTTCAGCTACTTTACAATTACTTCCGTGCAAACAAACATGCCCTTAGCCGATTCCGCGTTCCCGCGGTCTGTCCGGATGTCCCTTGGTCCCACCTATTAGTGTCAGGTTTAAGATAATTATTTAATATATTAGGTTTTGTTTACCGATCACTCAAAATATGAAGCTGTAAAATATAACTTTTGCTTTAAAGAATAAATGATTTTTTTTACTAGGAATTCCACATATCTCTACGAATGTAATGGTGATCTCAGTTATAATGGTCGTAGGTTCGCTATAGTCATCAGTCTTAGTTTACAATATTCCAAACTTCAAAATCGATGGACCAAAAAAAAAAACTTTCAAGCGCTTGTAACAATACGTGTAATTATCGTAACGTGAGGGTCAATTAATTATGTGTTCCTCAGGATAAGCCGTTACAGTGGTCAAACTAAACATCTCTACTCTAGGTTGTGAATCCTAAAGATGAATAATCTTGCTTTGATGCCACTTGACTGATGCTAGTCTAATGTTGAGTAGTTGGCGATTCATATTGTTCAATCTATATCTTATATGCTCGTTGATTAGATGTTGTTGCAATTCCAGAAGGTTGTTGCGTTGACAGAATTGATCAAAATACAGGAGTTGCTACTACGTTCAATTCAAGAATGTTTCAATAAACATAATATAAATTTATTTGTTGTTACAACTATATATAACCAGTTTAAGAGTTTTATCACCTCAAATGTTTTATTCACTGTCATAATAATATGTACTATGCGGTGAAATCTACTGTTATATATATACCCTTTTATTGCGAATATAGAATCTTATCGAGTTACAAGCTATATATTGATGTTTTTCTCTTTTTTAATATTACAATTTCATGTTGACGTTGTTCTTTCACACAAAGCTTTTGCATGCCACTTTTTGAACAATATCATTTTGATCGATGTCCTTCTTTCACACGAAGTTTGCTATATGCTCTAGCAAGTAGCACTGGATCGACCCAGCTAAGCATGTCACACGAGCCAAGAGCATTATCTACAACCTACATATTTAAACACGCAGAGTGGTGTGTTCATTTTGTTTTTTGGGGGGATATGAGGGAAACTTTAGGAAAGCATGAGGATCCCCACATCGAAGCTCCTATTTGATCCTCGATTGTTGAGAATTTAACGTCCAAATCCCCTTTTGCAACAGAAACGCAGAATAGAGAACAGTACACCAAGTTTTAACGAGGTTCGGCAACTGCCTACGTCCTCGGGAGCCACACAGATAATTTCTTATTAATCAAACAAGAAATTACAAATCAAGAGCAAATCCCTAAACTGAGATTTCTCAAATGAACACTGTTGCTACAGTGTTAATAATTAAAGGGAATAAACCCCTTTCAAATCTCACTTGAGAATAATTAAACAACCCACTTATAAAACCCTTCTTTAATTCTCTATTTCTCTCTCTTCTTTAATCCACTTCTTAATCTCCCCTCAAAACAATTTGAGAGCTGGAGATGAATGAAATCACTGCTGTGATTTAATTGGAAACGCGACTGCGTTTTGGGGCTTCGCCGCCAGAGAAATCGGAGAAGGGGGGGAGAGAAGGAGCACTGAAACCCTAGGGCCAAAGGGGGTTTTATAGCCTGGATTTGGTGGGCTGGCGACAGCCTGTCGCCAGCGCTCGAACGGACGCGAGCGTCGCCAATGACGTGGTCGTCAAGCTTCTGGACGCGATGGTCGGACCCCTGGACGCGATGGTCGGGGCGCTCAACGCGAGGGTCGCGTTCGCCGAGGGTCGCGTTCGTCCGAGGGTCGCGTCTTCGACTGGGGTTTTGCCTGCGTCATTTCTGAGCTCATCGGAGCTCCTCGTCGCCGGCGGAGGTAGGTTTCCACCCCCAATTCTAACAATTTCTATTAAGTAAATCTCAGATGTGGTGGTCCCATCTTTCATTACCATACTTCGGATTAGGAGATCAAATCAGGAACCTGGGAGAAGTTGACCGCATTATCATTGAATCCTCAGAATACTTGTGCTATCCGTGATGGATATTTATATTCATATTCGTTATTTTGTAAGCCAGGTTTAATTTTGGAGTGGACAAAATTGCCATACATAATCACAATAAATATTGTCATAGCCGAGTCCTATACCAAACAAATATTGTCTACAAAAGACACCTAAATGTACGAAACTAAGCTTAGGCCTAGTCAAACAAATCAAGTAATTAAGTCCCCTCTCGCATGTATATATTTGGTGTCCTATCCCTACTAAAATGTCCGGCCTAACTTTTTAGGTGTTTGGTTATATGGACAAATTTTCAAAACCAACCTATTTACAAATTTAATCACAGAAAACAACCCACTTCAGATTTAATTGCAAAAACCGACCTGGTTTCAGCCTTGGCGCTGAAACCAGGTCGGTTTTTGTGAAAAAACTTTCGAAACTTCACGGGAGTTGAACTCCCGTGAAGTTTCCCAGTACAAAAAAAAAAATTTGAACTACGAAACTTCACGGGAGTTCAACTCCCGTGAAGTTTCGGATAAAAATTTTCAAAAACCGACCTGGTTTCAGCTCCAGTGCTGAAACCAGGTCGGTTTTTGCAATTAAATCTGAAATAGGTTGTTTTCTGCTATTAAATTTGTAAATAGGTTGGTTTTGAAAATTTGTCCTTGGTTATATATATGTTGCGTGTCACGTCCTACATTAGTACATCATATATGCTTTCTATTTAATTTCATAGATGATGAATAATCTTAAGCATGATGTCTTCTGATGTTGGGAACTTTTTCACGTGTAGCATGGTGATAGGCATCGTCAAGCGAAGGGGTCTTTAGATGCTTCACGCTTGTCTTCATGGTCTTTTAAAGAAATGAGAAGGACAAGTGTGAGCATGATGATTCAAAATGAACATTACAAAAAGAAAGATTTTATTTTATTTTATTTTTATTTTATTTTATTTTATTTTTTTTTTTTTTTTGGGGGGGGGGGGGGGGGGGG